CTCTATGCCATGTTTCCAGTCTCTGTCTTGTACAGGAACATACAGGAAACAGGGACTTGAGCAAATGCTTAAGGCGATCTTAAATATAAGTAACGACTCTGAATCTGAACTCCGGCCATAGTGACCTTCCAGGGTCATTATAATTACAGTGAGTATCTTAAAATATCTTTTTTCCTTCAGTTCGAAATTCTTTACTTTAATTATTATAGGAATTGGGAAGCCTAGGTTTATAGGAATTTTTAGGTTTTTTTATACGTGAAGGACTAGTTCCAGCATTCCTTCGCTTCGAAGTTAGTAGTCCTTGAACAATTTTTTGCACGGGTCAATAACAAATAATTTTGTTATCAGAAAGAACAGTTTATTAAAGGATTAAAATCTTTTTATTTGTTCTAATATATAACAAACATTGTTTTTCTTTTAATATTGAAAATACGTTTATTTCAAGTACTACTTAAAACCATGATCTCGTGATTAGCTTACAATTTATTTGTCAAACAATAAGTCTAACTACTTCAATGCCTGGTATATCAATTCTACATAGTTCGTTGTCTAATTTATTTAATTTAACACTTTAACAAGTATGTACAAGTATGCTCAGTATTAAAATTACAATTTAAATTATACACGTGGTAAGGCGTTTACACGATCTAAAGCTAAGTTCAATGGCAGTGATTACAGCGTTCCTTCTTTCTTCATTCCAAATAATTTCCATAACGATTACACTAACAGAAAATTTTCAGAATTATGCTTAATAAATTATAAAAACAAATAACAAATAATAACAATTTAACGATACTACAATCTCTTCGGACTGGGATTAGAAAAAATTTATCTGTTCAACAAGATGAACGTTATTTTATAATTCACATAATAATAACAAATCTCATGATTGTGTACAATTGAGTAACAATTATCATGAGCCTTCGATTTACGAATACGGATAAATTATGCTTGGAAAATATCAATATTGTACGGCGAACTTGCGTAAAAATTTCCTATTACATTTCGAGGTCACCTAAAAGTTCGAGCGATTTTTGCTGGCAGGGAGTTGAAATATCATGTCTCTCAGTACTGGCATCAGTAGAAAACGCTTAGCTTCGCAGACCAAAGACATCACGGACTGTCCTGAGAAATTCGGTATGTCCGCGATGCCGCCGCTCTGTATTAATTTCTGAGCGATCTTCATGTGATTATTTTCCACCGCGTGGAAGAACGGCGTTCGACCCGAACGATGATCCCTCACGTTCACGTCCACGCCCTTTGATATCAGACTGGTCAATCCGTTCATGTTGCCGTGCATCGCGCAATAATGCAATGGGGCGAAACCTTTGATAAACGCATAACGAAAGATGAGAAAACTGAACAGTTCTGTTGAAATCGATTTGTGAATTCCTTATCTGACGTTTACCTGTCGAATCCATCTGATTGAGTAGTTCGCTCTCCGTCACGTAATCTAAGAGCAATGGTAGCAACGGGGACGACGATTTGCTAGCTAGAATTACTGCCGATTCGTGAAGTAGTTCTGAGGTGATCGGCTTAGCTCCGGCGTCCAGTAGGAGCTTCACTATGCTCTCAGAACTGCAATATTTGACCGCTAGCTCGAGAGAAGTCTGAAATAATATCAGAATGATTTTTATTAACTTACACTGTGTTTAATTCCAGGCAACTACTTACCAACCCGTCCTCGGTGCGTATGTCGATGTTCGTCTTTGAAGCGTTCAGGACCACCATCAGCCTCTTCACTCGCCTAAAATCGTCGTTCATGACTGCTCTGTGAATATTAAAAAATCCGTCATCGTCCCACGATTGCATTTCTTCATAATCCTTCTCAAGCTGCGTAGCGACTCTCTTGCAGAAGGTTTGCGGTATCGACAGAACCTTTTTCACCTTGTCTACTTCCTCGTTACTATTAAAGGTAGTCTTGAAATAACTATGAATGTCTTCTATTTCCGGTGTGGGAGACGAGTTCCATGCGAATATCATATCCATGTTGTCAAAGTTACAGTTCATGCTGGACCTCAACTGTTGCTGAAGATTCGCTTGTTCCAAATCGGTTTGCACCTGCACTTCATGGGCAATCGAACTATTTTCCGTTTGCTGTAATGTTTTTTGTTTCATTCGTTCCAAACCGTCCATCGCTTCGTTTATGGATACGAAATATCCTTCATCGAGAAGTCCAAAGACGTCGGTCTGCGTCTGTATTTCCTTGTACTGCGGTACCTCCAGACAGTTTTTTGTGATCTGTTGCATCTTTTTTGTACCGCACTCCGCCAGAGCTAACAAAGCTATTTCCCTAATATTCTCGTCATATTTCAGTGGTATTGTCGTATGAGTGGTTTGTTTCTCATTGTTCTGAGGCACAGATTGCGCTACCGTTGTAATAAGTTCACTACTATTTACATGTTGCGTATGATTTTGAGTAGATTCATTAATTATGTTAGTACCACTATCTATATTTTTCACGTCAGGCACTAACTGAGGTTCCTCTGTCCTCTTTTCGTATAGGATTACAACGTCGTCTTCATTTTCATCACTAATTATCTTGTCTTCAACGTTTTTTTCGGGAATGCCCTTCATTTCTGAGACAGTAGATACTAAATCCTTTACACTATTAATATTTAATTTCTCTGTAGTATTACTACTCCGTACATCTTGATCAGGTTCAATTGTCTTATTACTTATATGGGGTTTGTTGATAATTTTTAATAATTCACGGATATCATTTTTAGTATCTTGGAGCACTTTTACAGTTGGTAACTTAATACATGATTTTTCAGCAGCTGGCGATGTAGAATTTGTCGGAGTGATTATATCAAGTGGCAATTTCTTATGTTTAACGATACGAATCGTCTTTGACGCTGTGGTCGACTTTCCTGGACTTATCGCTTTCATAAATACCGTCTTCGCACTCATATTTTCTTTGATTAATTTCTTCTCTTCGCCAGTAGATTCTTTTTCCTTCTTATTAGTGATTCTTGAAGTACCGATTTCTGAAACATCTGAATAATTATGTGGTACAGTATACCCTCTATTAGTTGCAGTCAATTTCTTTCTTTCTGTCCCTTTTTGTACATTTTTTGTATTCATATCGAAATATTGAATCTTCTGCTTAAGAACTCCTAGTGATTTACAAATACAGGTTGGCGCTTGCTTATTGCTTTTATTTATTTTCAACGATTTACTTCTGACTGAATCCTTTTTCGGATCTTTCAACAGTTTATTAGCAGCTGTGATTCTGTCATGTTCATTTGTTCCTTTCGGTTCCTCATTAGATTTTGATAAAACAGGTTTTATGCAGTTTAGAATTACAGAATTCTTTGCCAGCTGCTGCGTACTTTGTTTCTCTATTGGAATCAGCATCCCATAAACACCATCCGGTGTGCTTAATGTCAGCGTGTTAGCTTTCTTGTTCACCGCGAACTGCTTATTAATTAAATGATTTCCATTTAATTTATTGGGGTTGAGAAATGTCGCTTTAACTTCCCCGAGGTCTGTACCATCTTTGCCCCTTATACGCAATTTGCTGGTACCCTGCGCGGTGACATTTATTTTGCTACCACTCGGGTTCATGATCGTGATCTTTTTCAAACTCTGCCCGACAGGATTGATTCTCGCGCCACCGATCACGCTCGGGTACTTATGGGGCAAATTGAACTTTTTGTATTCTATCGACGATTGACAATCTCCGTTGACTATACAGATTTTTTTCTCTGGCGATTCCATTTGTCAGAATTCTTTCGAGTTAATCGCTTCCAAATAAACAGTCACAGGAAGCATACTGTACAGAATTCGAGTGATTTTTGCGTTTGTTACTTATCAGAGTCAGCATGAAGGAGAGGCTTCACAGTTCACCAGTTCCATTTGTGTACACATTTCTGTTGGCATATAACTTCGCAATCTGGAACTGGTCTAAAACTGTCCCCTGCAGACAAATGGGGACATCCCTATGTTCCAATCGATCACTGCTGCCTACTTTGTTTGTACACTAG